CAGGCCTTCATAAAATCACTTTCATCCACAAGACCAATTTGGCTTTTCAGAAGAGAAACTGAGACATGTCAAAGAGGTGTGTATAACAAAAAAAAGAGCATGGGGTTTGAAGCTGAGGGTGGCTGGGTTTAACTCTTGACTCTATCATATATTATTTCTGCAACCTTGACCTTCGTGAGCCCCCGTCTCCTAAGGAGTAAAAATAGGGACAAGTATGCTGTCACTGGGTTTTTGTGAAGTTTCAATAATTAACATTTTGAAGGTATTTGGCTTGATGCTTGCTAAAAAATAGGCTGCTTTTCTTTCCTTATTGTAATAGATTCTTCAATAAGAAATGGTGTGATGTGACTTATTTCATTTTTTAGACAGAACTGCACATGCTAAAAGTTTTCCCATTATTACCTCAATCCAGAAGAAACTTTAATTTATTTGGGAACTGAAGGGCTTTTGCCACCCCTTCTCCCTTGACGGTTGTTCTCGACTCTGCAGGAAAGTGCTCTAAAACAGACACAGAGTGCCCAAAGGAAGTGAAAAGCACACAGCACGGCTGCGAACGGGGGAGCTCAAGCACACACACGTATCATAGTGCACACGCATCATAGTACACATGCGCACACACACCTAGGAAACTCCAGCCTTCCCGGTATCCTCATTTTCCCTTTAGAGCACCTTCTATTATGGACAAAACATATGGTGTGTGAGTATAGGCTACCTAGAGCTGCAAACTTTGAAATGACTTTTCATATCAAATAATTGATTAGACTCTGCAAAACTTTGTGTATTATAAGAGCTTGATAAATATTAGGTTAAAGAAAATCAGGAGTGCATTAGTCACGCTAACCTTAATCTCATCAGGGAGGATGACTTGGTTGGTCATTAACATACTAAGTACTTGACAGCACAGGTAGCATGTAGTAATGTAATTCCCAAAAACGAATGTGAAGATTTTTAAAGACCTTTATTTTACCTCTTTTTTTTTTTTTAAGAGTTACAATTTTGATTCTTACAATAGGCTACTCCCAAACCAAGAGTTAGATGGGTTCCATAGCAGATTCAAACCTGAGGCTTTTTAAACATAGTATTTATGCAAGTTTCTAGTTTTGAAAAGACTCCAACCCAGTTTCTCCCTGGTCTAATATTTGTGATGGCAGCAGCTGTATCTCTATTTGGATCCAGAGATGTTTTTGGCAGGCCTTCCCCTGGATCTGTGGATGTGCTGCTCATTCTAGCCTCACCTGACAGTCTGGTCTCCCTGCACCTGGGATGTCTGGCACACACAGCCTTTGGCAATACAACCATTAAAAGGAGACAGGTAAATAGCTTGTGGCTTGGGGCTCCCACAATGCTGTCAGCAATAAGCACTTGAAAGTATGAAGCAAGAGGCTCCAGAATTAATGGGGGAGAAAGTTGGATGGATATATAGGAGAGGATTAAAAATAAAGCAAGGGATTAGGAGAAGGGAAGAAAGGGGCCCATTAGATAAGGGAGACAGAGATTCAGCAGGTATTAAAGACAGATGGGGAAACACAAGGTTTAGAAATGAAGGCCAGATTTCTGAAAGTTGTTTTGAATGAGAAAAAAAAAATGTTAAGAATGAAAGCTGTCAGGAAAACTTGGGCAATGAAAGCCTTTCCCCGGGCAGATCATTTATTATTTATCTATCCTTGATTTTTTCTGCAGCTTGTTTTGTAGAAGCCAGAATGGAACAAGCATGGGCCAAGGTAACAGAGAGGCCCAAGCTTCAGAAGTGAGATACCACGTTTGAGCAGAAGCCATTTAAGGAAGCAGAGGCATGATTCCTTTGCCTCTTTTAATCAACAAGCATTTAATTAATGTAAAGCACTTGTTTTACCTAATCTGGGGTGACCTGTGGTGGTAGTAAAACTAGGCTGCCTGGAGGTGATAAATATGAAAAAAGGTGACTCCGTATACTCAAGATGCAACAGAAAGCCAGTGTGGGGAAGATCTGAGTGAAGGCTGGGTTAGGGTAGGGGGTGGAAAGATGATGCAGAATCTCAAAGTACAGGCAGACCTTGAAGATATTCCAGGTTGGGTTCCACACCACCACAAAAAATTGAGTATTGCAATAAAGTGAGTGATGATGTTTTTGATGGTGGAGGGTCTTGCCATAGATTTATAAAAAATGCAACATCTGTCAAGTGCAATAAAGGGAAGTGCTATAAAACTGGGTATGTCTGTACAGACAAAGGCTTGAATGTGCTGCTGCAAGTAGTTCTTGAGGAGGAGACTGTCACATTGAAAATACTATTTTAAGAAGATTAGTATGTGAATGGTGTGGAGGATGGTTTAGAAGTGTAGAGGCAGCTGTGAAGCTGTTGCAGAAAGGCAAGCTTGTGGAGACCAAGATCAAGGGGGACTAGGCTACAAATAAACTTACCGAGAGGCGGCTCAAAGGCTAGTTTATGCTCTCTTTCCTAACCATGCAATGTATAGGAGCAAAGTCATTTCTGCTTCCTTTGGTAGAATTTCTCTTCAGACTTCTTACTACTGGGAGCTAGTACCAATAACTTTCTTAATCCCTATGGATTATTTAAACATTTATGTCACTTGGGCAAACAAACCCAAAGTAAAACCCCATAAATTCTAAAGCTTTCTTTGAGCATCTTATTACTTCCCAAATGCGTTCTCTGTGTGTTTTTTTCACTGTTAATTTGAATCATTTTTTCATTTTTAATGATTGACTATAATCTCAATGTGTTTTCTTTCCAATTTCTTACCAATTTCATTTGTTAAATGCAACTCTTATTTCCTTACAGTTCCCGATCTTCCCTGCTGGTTTTCTGCACCATAAAGCCATTATAATGATTTTTTCCCCCTTCTCTTCATGTTTTTAATGAATAGGGTTAAATTGGAGCACACCAGAAATTGGTTACACACCAGTGACTGGATTAGTCAACTGCCAGGTTAAGTCAGCTGTAATGTTCATATAAATCTAAATAAACCCAACTTATTTTTGAGAGCAAGGTACAGAATGTCAAGAGAGAGGAAGTTCTGCTTCAATTTGCATTTCTATTCCTTTTAGAAAGATTTAGAGAATGGGCCATATATTGAAAAGCAATAACCAGTGCTCCTTGCCCAATTTTATGCGCTGCCCCTTGGGCCTTTGTTGAGCTCCTGGCCAAGCTTACAGGTTGTGCCAGTGTGCAGCTTCTCAAGGTGCTAGTGTAGGAATCACAATGCTGGTTGTCAAGCAGATCAAGTCAGCTCAGATGATTCTATTCTCTGACCTTTACCAAGAACACAGCAGGGATCAATTATTTTCATTGCCTTATCGAGTCCAGGGGAAAGCTGGACTACAAATGTAGTGGAAAAATGTGATGAGTATGTGCAAAGTATATGCATATAGGCAGCTTGCCAGGGAGAAGAGATGAAAGTTGGGTGGGAGGATGGGGGCAACAAAGAAAATCTCAGAATTCTGCTTCAGGCCAGCACTGCCAGGTAAGATGAATTGTGATAGATGTTGGCTTCTACTCTGCCTCTGACAAACCTCCAAATATAAATCTTAAGAACAATGGGGATTGGAGCTTCTTCATCACTGACATATAACAGTAGCAAAAATAATTTTCTGTAAAAGAAAGAGGCACAGTTCCAGAGCCCATTTTGTGGAATTAGCCAGCAGCCCGTGAGTCACTGTTTTTATTTTATTTTAGTTTTCTTTTCAGGGAAGGGCTTGCTGACTATAGTGAGTATCTCATGCAGCTGCATTTTAATGAGGGGATAGGTGCAATGCTCAGCTGACACCACCCTGCATGAACATGATTAGTTGATCACAGGTCAAAATGTGAATGCCTTACCCACTTGTGCAGAGACATTATTAGAATATCTGCATATCTTTGTGAATCAGGTGAAGAGGCGTACACTATGGTTTACTGGAAAGAACACTCATGGACCCAAAGTGAGTTTACTCTCTATAACTCCTATTTGTAATCATAGCTATTGGCTTTTTATCATATGCCAACTAATGTATTAAGCTCTCTTCCCAAGGAAATGGAGGTATGAAGAGGTCAGGTAGCTTGCCAAGTTCACACAGCCACAATTTGAATATAGGTTCCACCATGAGAAACCAAAATAGTATCCAACTTCTCCAGGTGCTCTTCCCTCCTGGGATGAAGAAACTCAGCCTTCCAATTGACCCTAAATGGGAGAAACTCTCCAAAAACTATCGCAACTGTTACCCAATAAGCTGAGCGGCAGGGTGCCCTCTTCAACCCCTGAGAAAAAGGGCGAAGCATGAAATTGCCTGCAGGCCCCTGGGGTTGGCTGCTCTCTGGGGTATCATTGGTATACCAGTCTTACCTGATTTCCATCACAGTCTAATCTCTTGCTCAAAGCATTTTCTAATTGTGTCATTACCTTGTTAGAAAACAAAAGCAAATATTTTAAAAATATATCTCCCAGTCCTCCTGGCGATTTCCAAGACAACAGTTTCCATTATATTCCCAGGCTCATGCCCCTTTATTCCACCTTTGATACCCTGTGTTTGGGACAGACATCAGGCTGCTAATAATCGCTCTATTCCCGCTTTGATTGTTCTCCTTTATGTGTTTACCTCCTCATTAATCTCTCCATTTTCTATACACCCTGCCTTTGCTAGTTCAGACTCCCTGGATCTACACGTACCTCCCTCCCTGCACTCTCATAGAATTTAACCTGAACTTCACAGCTTTTGTGTATCTTATGCTTTGAATGGTAAGATCACTTTGCTTCTACATTTTAAGCTACGTAAGGGCAAGAATTGTGCTATGGGCATTTTTACTGCTGCTACATAGAACCTAACCTAGTAGTTGAGAAATATAAATATAATAATCTTACTAAACTCTTCTTATGCTATAGAGTAGATTTAGTTCTATGCAGCTATGATAATGGTCACTTTAAACCTCCATAATCCCACCATTAATTCTTTTTATGTATTTTCCCACCTATAATTTATGAGGGGAAAAAAAAACAAGCAACAAACTTCTTTTTTTTCTTTTCTTTTTCAGCGGAGCACGTGAATGCAGCCCCCCACTACCACAGATTGTGCGATCAAGTCTCCCACGTTTGGGGAATCGCAGGGGTCAGTGTACCCGGCGTGCAAGGGATAAGCCTCGCTCTGGGAAGGCCGCCTTCGTGATCACGGGATCTCCCCTGCCAGGTAAATATGCAACAAACTCTTTAATGTAATCCTAACTTAAGCCCTTTTTAAAGTTGAGATTTAAAAAAAATCAAATTCTGAGGAATCACATTATTTATATGAAGTGATTGAAAGTGCATTTCAATCCACTCTTTACAAAATAATTCAGACTCTTCATTGCGCTCATTAAATTTTTTTTTCTTTTAATTTAGTTTTGTGAACTTGTGGCTGTATATCAGTTGGGGCATTTTTTTATTGCTCAGTATTTTGGTGTCTATTATCCTTTTAGTCTCACCAAGCCTGTCTCATCATTTGGTTCAGGGAAAAGATATCAAGCATTTTATGACTTCTCAAAACAGTGGGTGGGTTTCCACATAAGCTGCTTTTTAAACCAGATGCACCCCCCATCCTGATCTTCACACCCTTCATGGAACCGTTTCTCTTGAGAAAACTGGGTGGGAGGCAGAAGCAAGACCCCGTGGAAAACTGGGACAGAATGGATTTCCACCCTAAGCTCCAGCTACACAGGGAGGCGTTTTGGCAGGAGCACAACTGTGAGCGGCATTTTTCTCTTTGTGAGACCGGACATCAGTCAGTGACTGTGAGAGATTCCCACTACCTACACTCTGCTCTTTACCCTTCCCATGAACACATCTGAGACAGATGCCAAGAAGTTCTTAAGGAAGCGAACTTAGCCTGGTCAGCAGGGAATTTACTTTCCTCCTCCAGGGATATGATATGTCATGCTCAATTTAATAAACTCCAGTCTTTGAAATAGCTATCCATTATGTAGTTTCAATTGGCGCCCAACACAGAAGACGGCTTTTGTATCTGCCTAAAAGAATGGATTTTCCCAAAATGAGTGCTCCTCAATGACCCCACTTATGTAAACCTTCCTGGACCTTTTCAGGACAGGCTGTGCTCTTATCCAGAGAGTTCTGACATTACCACTGGGGATTCGTTCTGGGGAGACCCTTGTGCAGGGAAGTCTGCGCTGCAGCAGGCTCAGGGGGCTGAAAGCACTCTCAGACCCTCCCACCCCCCAGGACCAGGCTGCTAGGGTTTGCAAAGAGAGGCTCCATTGCTCTAGTTGAGTGCAGCTCTTCTCTGCTAGGTTTCCACAAGCAGCAAAACATTCACATTGGCTGCCAAATTGTGTAAGGCTCTCTCACGCCACCAAAGGTTTCCTTCCTCCAGTTTTCCACATGTACTGAATGTTTTCTGGAAAGTGCGTACATTTGCTAATGTTCCATGAATCAGCACTTGGGTCTGAAAGCTCAAATTTCCTAATAAAGTAGTGCAGGAGCCCTGGAGCATACTCCACCAGGCCCACTATGTGGGCAGAGCAGGCAGATTCCCCCTCTATTTCAGAGCACGTGACCAGCAGAAAAGCAACCAGACAGAACAATAGAGTCAGAAAACACACTCCCGTGGAAATATATGCTGTAAATCACTAAAGTTGTTTCTTGGTCTGTGGCTTAATTAAATGCTGCGAGGCCGACCGAATTGCTTAGTTCTCCAGGTAGCATTGTCCTTTTGACTACACCTTCATACTGATTAATTGGCCTGCTGCTTTATTTCAGGAGGGGATTCTGAAACTCTGGTAACTAGGATATTTCATTTTGATCGAAAGGAGATCCCACTGAGCTGCTGTTCCCTGTTACAGAGAACTTGAATTCTTTCTTTTCTCCCCTGTATTATGTTTCTTATACATTTTTTTTTTAAGTTAGAGAAGCATACAATTTTCTTTTGCTGCTACCTGGCGTATCTGCCATTTGGAGCCAATGGATAGCTTTGTCTTTAAGAACTAGGTTAGATACTCATATTATATGCCATTCATTCTGCTGGATTCTTGGAATTAGTTTGATTAAGACCTGTTCTTTGCCACCAAGATAGTAAAGCAAACCCTTGGTTGGCACTTATTGTGAGCCAGGCATTCTTCCAAAGTGTTTTCCACATATTAACTCATTTAATCTTCACAACATCAATATGAGGTAGATGTTATTATTCTCATTATATAGATAAGGTAACTGGGACACAGAGAGGCTAAAACACTTGCCTAAGGTCAGATAACTATGAAGTGATGGAGCTGGGATTCAAATCCAGGCATCCTGAGGCCAGAGGCCTTGATTTTAACCACCATCCAATGCAGCCCTTCAGGAAAACACAGACTAGGGACAAATGCAGGTACAGCACTGACATTGGTTCCACAGTACAGGTGGGGCGCCCCAAGGGAGACAGGCCTATTCTAACTGGTGAGAGAAGGAAAGCTCTAGATTTGTGAACCACAAATGTGAACTGCTTTATGACTTTGTTCATTGAGATCCACAGGCAATCTGCCTTTAGCTTTCAGTGATAATGAAGAGTATTTGTATACATCTGACTAAAGAGCAAAATTGAAAATCAAACACATATATTTTTAAAGGTCCCACTGCCTTGCCCCTCCTTCCTGCTCTGGCTGTGAGCTTTGCTCCCCAGGAGTAAGTCTCATGTATCCGTGGGGACCTGGCCAGGAACCAAGGAAGGAGTACAACCGTGGGAAGCAGATGACAACAGCAGATTAAAGGAGGACGCTTTTCCCTAATATTTTTTTTCCTCCTTTTTGTTGAAGAGATAAGATACAAAGAGGGAGTACTGGCTGCTTAGCGTGAAAAGATGAGATACAAAGGTAGTTTCCATTTAATTCAGCTGAACAGGTTCTTCCCATCCTCTCGGTGCCTCCCTCATTAATTGGTAGGGGAAGGAGACCTTAGCATCTCTCCTTAAAAGGGCTGGGTTCTATAGACATCAAGATTTTATGCTTAGGCCAAAAGAGGTTCACATTTTAACCGGATGGTTAAGCCAGTAGGTATTAACCTTGAAATTGGCAATGTCAGAATAAAGCATATTTCTCAAAAATTGCAAAATTAGCCCTTCTGAGGTGTACAAAAATATATATAATATCTGATAAATCAGAATCAGCTAGAGTAAATTTTTAAATGTGGGTAAGTAAGCATTATTTAAGAAACAGCTAGATAAAACACATATATTTTTAAGTGCCATGTGAGGTCTTGAGAAAAAAAGGGAAGGAAGAGAGTTCTTAGAATAGAATTCTTATCACAAAAATGTGGAGATCAGAACATTGCTTTCATTTTATTTTCCAAGAGTCCATGAAGTTCCTTATTTCTGGAACGTATCTAAGTGTGATATTCATGATAGTTTAAATACCATAAGCACTTCTCACTATGCCAGGGACTTCTAAGTATTTTATATATCTTTTTTATTTTATATCTTTAGTCTTCAAATAACCCTTGAAGACAGACAGTGTTATTATTCACGTTTTACAGACGAGGAAACTGAGGCCAGTCAGAGACAAGAGAAAAATCAAAGGCACAGAAGAGACCGAACCTGGAATCCATGCTCTTCACCAGAACACTGACTTGGTTCTTAGAGCAGACAGTGAATAAAGGTTTACTATCTTTTTTAGTAAACCTGGTTGTCATGTCTTAAGTCCAAAGAATTATAGATGAGGAGAGTTAATATAGAATTGTCAAATGTATGCTTATGATTTGCTATCAATGTTGTTCATCAAAAAATAGGTGGGGCAAGGTGGAGAAGCACAAGGTATTAAAAATAGTGAGTGGAAAGTAATTTAGGAGATAATAGAAGAATTCTAATATATCAATTGTCATACCAAATTAATTTATCACTAGTATGCTACTGCTGTGAAGCCTAAGGAATATATTGATTTCACTAAATTAAAACCTACAGAGATTAACCTTTTTAATGCTTTGATGAAATGAGAAAAATGTTATACCAAAGTGTTTCTTTTTTCCTCATAAAAGTACTGATTATAATGTCTGAATACTTTTATTATATATAGAAATAGATTAAAAGTTTTTCCAGGATGCCACATGGTATAGAAAATGCTAAAGACCAGCCAATTTTTTTTCACCATGTCTCTATGTACACTGACATTCAAATTCTATGCAAGTGGTTATGAATCTAAAAACCATATTCTTTGAAAAAACATCTTATTTTCCCTTAAAAAAATATCTGTTTATAAAGCATCATTTAAAAACAAAAACACCTTCTGAGCAAAGGAGTATGCTACTATAAAGCAGCATGAAAGTCTCCAAAGATATAACATTGTTTTTGATATATAATGCAATAATGAAACGACAGTAACAGTAACCATCCATCAAGTTCTTGGCATGTGCTAGATGCTATTCTAAGCATTTTATTTGTGTTATCTCACGTAATGCTTTTGACAATATTATGAGATGGGTGCTATTATTGCTTCCATTTGACAGATTCTGAAACTAAAGCAAACGTGACTAAATAACCTTCCTTAGCAGGTGGTACAGCCAGGAAGCCATACTCCTGGCTTGGGTTCTTAACTGCCCTTTCTTCTGTTTCCTTGCGATGGCCATGGTGGTGATAATTGGGGGATGAGAGGAGAATCAGCTCTATAGAAATCATTAGTAGCAAATCACAAGTCTAAAATATAGCTAATGATGGAGCCTGAAAGCTGCGACTGTGGTAGTTTATGAGGTGACAGCTGCAAAACCCTTTGAAGTCCGTTGGAAATGCTTACTCCACAAATGCACAGCTCCTCCCTGAGTTGTGCCAGCTCCGTGCCTACTTGACACAATCTGGTGCCCTGTCTTTACCAGTGCATCGAACGTATTTATGCCGAACTCATGTGAAGGGAAGGCTAACAGGCCACTCTGCCCATGCAAGGAATGGTGGTGACTGATGCAGAGCAGTGTTGCAAAACCCATTCTCAAGTAACTGCATGGAATAGGGGTTTACATCCTATACATAAGTAGGCTCCATAAAACTGGAAGGTCCTTTGGCTGACAAGCTACGAGGGGAGAAGCAGTGAGCTCTTGCAAGCTCAGTCAAACCATGTGTAACTTGTCAATTTATCCTTCTCAGAAAAGCCCCTAGATCTTCCACTAGTGTCTGATAAAAAGAAAAGCCCTCTTCAGGGCCCCAGAAGGAGAAGGGTTAAAACTAGAAGCCCTTCACATAATACTATATATGT